GCTCGGCCTTTCCCTTCCAGTCACAGAAAACTGCCCCTGCCACGGCAGGCGCTCCAAGATAGCAGACAGCAGCCTGCCGAATCACCTGCTGAGATGCGCGGATGGGGGGGACCGCACCAACACCCACAACGCGCTGGTGTACGCGGCACTACGCATGGCACGTGAGGCGGATTTCACTACCTTGCACGAGACGACAGGATTTTCGCCCCCAGTCAACCCTAAACGGGCGGACCTGGTCTTCCGTGACAGGGAGTCGGGTGAAACCTACCTCACAGACGTGACGGTGACCGACCCAGTGCTGCAGAGGCGGGACACCCAAGGGAGAAAGGCGCCAGGGTGGGCAGCAGAGGACGCTGCCAGGACCAAAAGGGGGCTGTATGAGGAGCGCCCCGAGTTCGCGGGGGTCCTGGGCCTGGCCGTGGAAACCTACGGGGGACTAGCGAGAGACACACAGAAATTCTTCCGCATTTTAGGCACGAGTGCGGCCAAGAAGAAGCACCGCCAAGGGAGGCTCACCACGGTGGCCTCCAAGCTGACTGCGCACTACCGACAACGCTGGTCGGTAATGCTGCAGCGCTGCCAAGCCAACGCCATGCTGGCAAAGTCCAACAGGGCGGCGGAGGCAGCATACCCCCAGGCCTGGGCTGACCCTTGGGAGCCAGGCCTGGGGGACATATGGCAGGTCCTGGAAGATGAGGTGGAGGAAGTGTGGGACCTGGGAGTCTAGAAGGCTGGAGAGAAGGAGCCGGGGCAAGAACAAGGCCGCCTGAGCCACCATGGGGGCCTAGTGATAGGTGCTTGCATGCCTAGGCCGCCATGTACCAAGGAAGGTAGGAATAGTACAAGCAATGCACGCCAGGATTGCCTATGCTTCTAGGACAGCATGTATGCCAAACTACTCATGCCATGCTTGTATCCTATGACCATTATCAATACAGGACTGCTTGAGAGAGAGAGAGAGAGAGAGAGAGAGAGAGAGAGAGAGAGAGAGAGAGAGAGAGAGAGAGAGAGGGGATCTGGCTCAAACCAGCAATCACAGATCCCCGCCTCCCAAACCACCTCCTTCGCTGCGGAACAGGCAAGCATCGCATCAAGCACCCACAATGAGCTCAGGGATGCATGCATTAGCATGGCTCAGGATGCGGGGTTCATAGTCCACAGCGAGTCAGCCGCATATTGTCCCATCGAGGAGCAGAGGGCCGACTTCACCATGACGGACAGGGCTGCTTTTAACTCGGTGGAGAGGAGTAGCTTCTTTATAGCGCTCAGATGGTCCGATCTGCATGACATAATACCCCTGGTGCGCACGCTGTACGGCAGCCCATAACGTCTGTTGCTGAACAAGGGTTTCGGGTCCACCCATATCAATAGTGCCAGGGGGGTTAGACAGGGCGACCCTCTAGGGCCCACACTGTTCGCGGCGGCGATCCAGCCAGCGCTACAAAAAGCGGCAACGGCATTCCCAGAGGTAGCAGTGATGGCGTACGCGGACGACATCACCTTGGTGGGGGAGCCGGTTGCCGCGGGTGGGGCACTGATGCTCATCAACTCAGAGCTCCGGGAATGTGGCCTACGATGCAACCTGCAAAAGTCGTCGGCGTGGAGCCCAGCTGGAACACCCGACAACTTACCTGATGGGCTAGTAGCGGCGGTGGATGGAATTAAGGTGCTTGGTAGCCCGATCGGGACGGAGGCGTTCGGAAGAAGATTTGTAAATGCCACATTGGAGAAAATCGCGACCCCACTCGATCTCCTAAGCGGACTGCACCCACAGCACGCCACATTGCTGCTGTCACGGTGCATCTCGCGGAGGGCGGCGTATCTCCTGCGCACGACACCGGTGGACCTCCTCCCTCTGGCAGAATGGCGAGGCTGGAGTGAGAGGTTGGTCGGCATGGCACTGAAGGCGGCCCACCTCTACTTACCACTCGATGAGATGGAGCAGAGCCTGCTATGGCGGCAATCCACTCTCCCAGTGGCACTGGGCGGCCTCGGCATCATTGATCCATCGTCAGAAGCCCCAGCGGCGTACTTGGCGTCAGTAACAGCGGCAAATGCCCTCCTCAAACAGCTCCCGACTGCCCCGGACAGCCCGCTGGACAAGGCAACTGGACTGGTAGCACCAGAGCCGGAGTGGTGGAGGGAGGGTGTGGACGAGGTCCAGCGGGATATGTGGGAACGGCTGCCCAGGGCGGGACAGGCGGCACTGCAGGAATATCTCCAGAACGGGGACGTGAAGGGGCATCTGCAGCTACTTCTGTCACGCCACATCAGCACCGAGCGCGCAGCGGAACTGATAGGAGACACTCGCATGGACAAACCCGGCATAGACAACGGGCACGTCCTACGCCTGCTGAGTCTACAGGGGAAGGGAGCGGGGGACTGGCTTAATGCCATCCCAACACGAGGGGATCTCACCTTCTCCCCCGGCCAGTACGCGCTGGCGTTGGGGTTGCGGCTTGGGCTTGAACTAGCTGTCACGGAGCACTGCCCTTGCAGGGGGGAAAGGGCGGAGATAAAGGACAGGAGCCTCCCAAACCACCTCCTGAGATGCGCGGAGGGGGGGGATCGCACTACAACACACAATGCGCTGGTATACTCGGCCCTACGCATGGCAAAAGAAGCGGATTTCCTCACCTTGCACGAGACGGCCATCTTCAGCCCCATAACCAACCCCAAACGGGCTGATTTGGTCATTCGGGACAAGGAATCGGGGGAAACGTGGGTAACAGACGTGACGGTGACTGACCCCGTGCTCCAGCGCCGAGACAAATGGGCGGTGAAGCCACCAGGGTGGGCAGCTGAGGAAGCAGCGAGAACCAAGCAGGGAGAGTACGTGGGAAGGCCTGGATGGGTCGGCTGTTTTGGGTTAGCGGTGGAAACCTATGGGGCAATGGCGAAGGATACGCAGAGGCTCTTCTGGTTGTTAGGAACGGCGGGGGCGAAGAAGAAGTTCCGGCAAGGAAGGTCTACCACAGTGGCCTCTAAGCTGACGGCCCACTACCGCCAAAGGTGGTCGGTCCTCCTCCAGAGGTGCCAGGCCAACGCTCTGCTCGCCAAGTCGAACAGAGCGACGGAGGCGGCGTTCCCTCAGGGGCAGGCCGACCCGTGGGAGCCTCGGGAGGGGGATCTCTGGCACGTCCTAGAGGACAGCCTGGACCCGGGGTGGAGCCGAGAGGAGTAGAGTGGGCAGGGCCCAGGGGGGCAGGGGGGACAGAGCAGGGCTGACCAGGGTGGCCGGCTTAGTGGGGGTTCCTAGAGCTCAAGGGATGCTGCCTCGTTACCAGCTCGCTTGCTTGTGCGTTCTGCGACATCTCCGCTCTCCCACCAGCTTGCATGTTTCACGGTAGCTTCCTAGACTAGAACCCACCCTTGCATGTATGTACCCTATATGAAACATCAATGAAGGACCGCTTGAGAGAGAGAGAGAGAGAGAGAGAGAGAGAGAGAGAGAGAGAGAGAGAGAGAGAGAGAGAGAGGCCTAGTCCTTAGCCTCTCCAGCCCTCTCCAGCCTAGTATAAAGGCCCTAGGATCTAGTCCTAAAGCCTCATTATTCAGTTCCTTGTTCACTTTGCTCTCCTAACCGAGCGGGAGAGAGAGAGAGAGAGAGAGAGAGAGAGAGAGAGAGAGAGAGAGAGAGAGAGAGAGAGAGACCCAAAGTTACTAAGTCCTTAGCTATTACGGCCTAGTCCCTTAGTGTAGACTTGTTTCTTAGTGTAGACTAGTTGCTACTTGTTTTGAGCCTAGTTCCCTGGTGTATAAGGGGCAAGGATCCCACTCTCATCCCCATTGTTCGGGGGTGAATTCATTCTCACTGCGAATCCGGCGGCTCGTTCGAGAGAGCGAGAGAGAGAGAGAGAGAGAGAGAGAGAGAGAGAGAGAGAGAGAGAGAGAGAGAGAGAGAGAGAGCGAGAGAGAGAGAGAGAGAGAGAGAGGGTTTAGGGTTTAGTTGCTGGTGAGCCATCTCCCCAAGCCAGCGGCTTGTTCGAGAGAGAGCGAGAGAGAGAGAGAGAGAGAGAGAGAGAGAGAGAGAGAGAGAGAGAGAGAGAGAGAGAGAGAGAGAGAGAGAGAGATGGCATAGCTCAGTCCTTAGCCATTTCTAGGCCTCTCTTCCCTAGGATATAGTCCTTAGCCATTTCTAGGCCTGTTCCCTTAGTATAAAGGCTCTGGATCCAGGCTTGTGAGCTCATTATTCACTGGTGAGTTAGGTTCACTCTCCAAATCCGGCGGCTCGTTCGAGAGAGCGAGAGAGAGAGAGAGAGAGATGGCATAGCTCAGTCCGTAGCCATTTCTAGGCCTCTCTTCCCTAGGATCTAGTCCTTAGCCATTTCTAGGCCTGTTCCCTTAGTATAAAGGCTCTGGATCCAGGCTTGTGAGCTCATTATTCACTGGTGAGTTAGGTTCACTCTCCAAATCCGGCGGCTCGCGCCGGCCGCCTTCGGCGGCCGCCGCTCGCCAGCGCGGCCGAAGGCCGCGCGTGAGGCGTGGCAAGGGTACAAGCAACACAACACCATTAACAGCATGTGGTACATCAGGTGCAACTAGCAGGGAAGAACAAGAACACCACCCCCTGGCCAGAGGAGTCCGCCATGGGGAAGCCCAAGGCAAGGCCCAACACCACGGGAGCCTGCAAGGGAAAACCACCTGTTACTCGGCAAGGATCCAGCATAGCCTCCCGTCCATCCAGCGCAGGACGGATGCGGCTGCTGACACAAGACCGAGGGGGCTCCCCCGGGCAGACTCAGCAAGCCTTACCATTGCCCGGGGGCCGGGCCCGAGCGCGGCACCAGGAGCGCCCGGCACAAGGCCGATCAAAGGCAGATAGTGCAGCATCTCCGTGGCCGCTGCCACAGCCGCAGACCGCTCCGCGGGAAACATCCCCCCAACCTCCAAGCCTTGCCGCGCCAAACACACGTGGAGCTGGTCCAGCACGTATGACAGCAACGTTAAGCACGTCCCCACGTGCACAACGCGCTGCTCGACGAGGGGAGGTGTCGCGGCTACAGGAGCAGCAGCGTGAGGAGCAGGCGGGACAGGGGGAAGTGGCGGCACTGGAGACGCTGGTGGATGGTGCGGCGGACGCTGGGGCAGGGGAAACGAGTTCACGGGAGGATGCTGCTGCTGTGGAGCCTGGTATGACGCCGGGGGTGGAGACTGTTGTTGCTGCGGTGGCTGATCCGATGGAGGTGGAGCGGGTGGAGCGCTGGCCTGCTGCCTGGCTGTAACCCCAGCTGGCTCGGGCATCCAACTTGCAAGGAAACAAAACATGCACTCACACACGAAACAAAGTAGCGCCTTCCAGCTGTCACACCCCCTTTTCCCCTCCGCTGACGTGTTACCCTATCCTGCACCAACCCATCACCCTTGCCTCGCTTTCCCGTTTCCTCGGTACTCACTTCTCCTGTGGACTGTACAAACATACAGTATGTACACTCGCTTTCCATCAACCTTATCTCGTGACACCCCCTTCAGTTTCGACCTTCACTTTACGCGCCTTTGACTTGCCCGCTGCTTTATCACGCGGTGCATCAACTGCCCCGCGTTTTTAGGAATGACAAGTCCGGCCCCACACCTTCCGTGTACCACTCCCCCGTCTTCCTCGCGCTCCTGGGACCTTCACTGCCGCCACATACTCCTCCTCTTCCTCTTCTGCCCCTTCCCCCTCCTCCTCCTCCACATCCTCCTCCTCCATATCCTCCTCCTCCTCCTCCTCCTCCTCCTCCTCCTCCTCCTCCTCATCCCCATCCTCCTCCTCCTCCCCCTCGCCATCCTCCTCCTCCTCTTCATCCTCGTCGTCCCCCTCCTCGTCCTCCCTCTCCTCCTCCTCATCCTCGTCGTCACTCTCCTCGTCCTCGTCGTTGTCGTCGTCATCGTCCTCCTCCTCCTCCTCCTCCTCCTCCTCCTCCTCCTCCTCCTCCTCCTCCTCCTCCTCCTCCTCCTCCGCCTCCTCCTCTTCGTCCTCCTCATCATCCTTCTCATCTTTTTCCTCCTCCCCCACCTCCGCATCCTCCTCCTCCGCATCCTCCTCCTCCGCATCCTCCTCATCCTCCTCATCATCCTCGTCCTCGTCCTCCTCCTCCTCCTCCTCCTCCTCCTCCTCCTCCTCCTCCTCCTCCTCCTCCTCCTCCTCCTCCTCCTCCTCATCCCCCTCATCCTCCTCCTCCGTATCCTTAGCACCTTCTTCGAAGTTTTTGGGCCTCTTCCCCCTAGCTACTTGCTTGCCCAAGAGTTTTTCGGCCACCGAAGTTTTTCTGCCCTTCGGGTCGGCCCTTCTGGCGCAATGCATGACCCGCTGACTTAACACTTACTTCCCTGGCGCCTCGCGTTTTTCCAACTTCCGCGCCATCGACGTCGTCAGCTCTGCCTTCCATCTGCCGCCTCTTCGCCCGTATAATGATGGAGCCGGCCAGGGCGGTGTCATCCTGTTCCTCCCCCTCGCTCTTTCTCTGCCTATGCCTCCTACGTCAACCTGAAGGAGGAGAGCCACTAACACCGCCAACTTTAGCGGCATCATCGTGGCTGTGATAGCCAACATCGGCGATGTCGTGTTGCTCCTCCATAGAATCGTGCTCTCCATCATTGTCCTTCTCGACCACGGTAGCAGAAACTTCGACCACGGTCGGCTGGAGCAGTGTCAGATGGTGCTGCAATGCTTCCGCCTCTGACTCGGTGATGGCTGCATGCTCGTCGCATATAGCGTCGCCGTGGTTTCCCCCTATCGCTGAGCACTCTCTCTCCCCCGACGGATTTACAAGACTCACGTGTTGTTCAGGATCCGTCACTTTGAGAACTTACGACGAACTCATTTCTCAACTAAACGCAAATCTGCTCAGTAAGATTATGCGCCTTAGGCTTAGCTACCATCTCCAATTCGAATCACTTAGAAAGATGGTCTAGAGAGTAAGAACGACTCGAAAACACCCAGCAGCTGCATGACTAGAAATGGTGGAGGAAGTACAAGTATTGAGGCATAGAATGTTGGAGTTGGGAACCTCCAAGAGAATCATGAGAGGGAAGGGGTTCTTCAAGAGCTAGGGAAGGATGGTATGAACCTTCCTAGCAGCAAGGATACAACCCTCATTATGAGGTCCTTGAGGTGTCACATGCAAAATCCAATCTAGTTGTATTTTGCCTAGGTGTTGCAACATTTGCAACCCATGCTAGAAACTTCTAGCCACCCCAATTCAAAAGTCAAAGTTGCCTTTCTAACCACCCAACCAAAGGTCCCTTTATAATCATGTCCAAGTAATCACCCAAACTAGATATAACCCCAAAAGGTAATAAGGAATCCAAGTCTTGGAAATCTTGTAACTTGGGCGATATTTGTCGTAATAAGGTGATCTTGGTATTGTTGGAAAGCTCTGGATTTCTCCTACATCATCAAGCATTTAAACTGGGCGAAAAAACGCAGAGATAATAATATCCAAAAGCCATGCACAATGACATATGCTCATGCAAACAATGCACGCATAAATAGCACGAGCATTCGGCACGACGTTAGGATGACATGCACTCAGAATAACGTGCATCCAACATCACGCTCCCTCGCACCGGATCTTCCTTGGCGCCGATGGTGCCATCGTAAGTCGGCCCGGGCTTGCTTCTATCAGAGGCATCATCCGCATGTTTTTTCACAGTAGAAACCCGCACGCTTGGCGTTGGTCGCTTCCCCTTGTGTTCCGCCTACTTCCCGGACTTCTCGAGTCCAAGCGCGGAATTTTTCCCCGCTCCTTTTTTCTAGTGACTGCCACGCGCACCAGACGCTTTAGTAGCTTTAAATTCGCTATCACCCTCCCGATCGGTCCGAAAAGGTTGCCTCCTTGTCGCGCGTCGTCCGACCTGGTCATGGAATAGTACAGGGTTGTGGTAAGGTACTAGATTGAGCTCATGTCACACACACTTTGAACGTCGAAAACTGTTATTTCTGACAATCATACTAAGCACATGTTGAATGCCACCACGGTGAAAGGACGTTGGACGATATCAAAACACGAAAATCACTAGTGCCTAATGGGAAACCGTTGTTGCATGGTATTGGATTAGGCCTCAATCTTGAGGGGATTTTTAACATGGTGCAATAAGGCAGTGGTATGAAGCACACAACGATTGCACAAGCGGTGAAATGTTATCGACAACCATGTCTCGACAGGGGTGACGTTGCAGCGTTCAAGTGTTTGGTTTGCAACCAATGGTGAAACTGTTGTGGTATGGTATTGGATTGGGCTCAATTCTTGCATGGAACTTCAACAAGGTGCATAAAGGGAGTGGTATGAAGCACAGGGCTGTTGCACAAGCGCTGATAGGTTATCTACAACCATGTCTCGACAAGGTGTCGTTGCAGTGACCAGGTGTTTGGTTTGCAACCAATGGGGAAACCGTTGTTGTATGGTATTGGTTTGGGCTCATCTCTTCAGGGGACCAACAAGATGTATATAGAGAGTGGTATGAAGCACAGGGCAATCGCAGAAGCGGTGATATGTTATCGACAACCATGTCTTGACAGAGAGACGTTGCAACGATCAAGTGTTTGGTTTGCAACCAACGGTGAAACTGTTGTGGTTCGGTACTGGGTTGCGCTGAAATCTGGCATGGACATTCAGCACGGTGTATAAAGGTCCGACAACGATGTGGTTTGATTATCATGGCATGCAGAGAAGCGATGATATACTACTACTTTGTGTGAGAATCACTGAACAAGGAAATTGACTGAACTAGCAAGGAGATGGGTACAAGTAGGAAAACCTAGCAGTGTTGTACCCCATATAGTCTACCCCACTACAGCCTACACAGACTATGTCATATATCTTTGACACACCCCCATAGGCAAAGTGGGGGAGAACAAGAGGTCACAAGACCAGTCAAGCAAAGCAAGGCAAGCTCAGGGTGGATCACAACGTCACCACACAATCTGAGCACAAGCACAAGGCCACAAGGCCAGTTCACATGCAGAGTTATATATCAAGGTGAACAAGCAAGGCAGTGACCAAAACATAGCAAGGGTAAGCATGCAAGTTCAGGTATATATAGATCACATTACAAGCAAAGTCAAGAAGTGAGCAAGTGAGGCCAAGTAGGCACAAGACCTAGCATCGTACAAAAACGCTGATGATCACAAGGCCGAAGTGCCTTGGCAAAGATATCAGCAGTGTTGGCCCGAGAGGCCACGTAAGCAAGGCGCAGCTGACCACGCTGCTGCAGCTCACGAGCAAGGAAGTAGCGAAGAGCAATGTGCTTCGTTCTGTGCTCCAGTCTGTGCTCCCGACACAAGGCCAGCATGGCCTTGTTGTCTACGTACAGAACTGGAGAAGAACGAGGCGGCTCTCCGAGGTCAGTCAGCAGGTAGGTGAGCCAGCGTAACTCCTGTGCAGCCATGGCCCCTGCGTAGATCTCAGCCTCACAGCTGGAGCTGAGAATAGAAGACGTACGGGTAGACCACCACGAAACAGAGCCGGAACCAAGGCTGAAGATGTAACTCTGTGACGACCGCTGCGTAGCCAAGTCGTCAACCCAAGACGCGTCTGCGTGACCAGTGAGGACCACTGAACTCCGCCCTCCAAGCACGAGCCCCATGCCCGACGTACTGCACAAAACCCTCTTCGCCGCAGCCATGTGCTCTGGTCGGTGTCTCCCAGGAGCAACATAGCGTGCCAAGATGCTAAGAGGGTATGCCAGGTCAGGTCGAGTGCAGGTCATCAGGTACATGAGGCAGCCAACAAGCTCTGGTACGGGCCACTCGGCTCTACGGACTCATCTGAAGGCAGAGCTGAGGGCGAGTGGCGAGTAGACAGAGGAGTGGCCTGAGGCGAGGAGTACGTGAAGTCGAAGCGCTGAAGGACCTGCTGCACCATGTGTGACTGAGTCAGGGTAATGGTCCGCCGTGCTCTGTCCCGGGTGATCTGCAAGCCAAGATAGCTGCGCAGTTCACCCAGATCTGTGCACGTGTGTCTCTTCTGCAGCTCGGACTTCACGTGGGCGAGTCCAGCAGTGTCAGCAGTAGCAAAGACCAAGTCGTCGACGTACACGAGGATGTAGAACGGCGGCAGCGAAGTGTCGGTGCGTAGAAACAGCGACGGGTCAGCAGTAGAAGGAGCAAACCCAAGAGCCGCAAGCGTAGTCCTCAGTGTGTCATGCCACTCACGGGGCGCCTGGCGGAGACCGTAGAATGGCCGTCGAAGGCTCCACTGGGTACCAGGAGGAAACGACCCAGTGAAGCCAGGTGGGCGGCGCAGCCAGATCTCCTCGTGCAGGCTGCCCTGTAGGAAAGCAGTGCTGAAGTCAAGAGAGTGAAGCTCGTAGTCACGCTGAGCGGCTATGTGCAGCAGCACCCGAAGAGTGGTCATCTTTGGGGTGGGAGAGAAGGTCTGAAAGTAGTCAACTCCCTGCCGCTGACTGAAGCCTCGAGCCACATAACGCGCCTTGAAGACAGGCGGAGAACCCGGTGGCCGCTTCACAATGAAGATCCACATGCCACTGACGATGTTCGCCCCAGGTGGGGGAACCTCGTCGACGTAGGTGCCTGTGGACTTCCAGGAAGCCATCTCTGCGTCCATGGCTGTCTGCCACTGTGAGGAGTAGGGACCCTCTATCGCCTCTGCGTAAGAGCGCGGGGTCGGGATGTCTGGTGCATCCGGGTCTCCCTCAGGGGCAAGCAGCATGGACACGAGATGAGGTAAAGCAGCCGCAAAACACTGGAACTCCTCTTGCCTGTCCTCAAGGACGTCCGTGCTAAGAGCACACTCACCCCCGACGGACGGAGGACAGACAGACTCACACTCAGCAACAAGACTAGCGGCGTAGTCTAGACGACAGTGAGCAGCGAAGTCGACAAGCTCAGCAACTAAGGCAGACGCAGCAGTGGACTCAAAGGAAGGGTCAGTGACAACAGTAGCCAGGAGACGCGTGACAGTAGGACTGGCACCACGAAGGGAGTCAGACTCCGGGTCAGCAAGAGCAGGAAGAGAGGACTCTGGTGGAGACGGCAAAGGGACACGCAGTGGAGCAGTGGAAGGACGTAGTGCCATCTGGTGCGTGCCCGGGACCGCAGGAGGACGCTGACGCGGAACACGACGACCAGTGCGAGCAGCACGAACAGGCGATGCAGGACGAGACTCAGGCTCACGACGCTCAGCAAGACCTCCAGTAGGACCAGTGTAGGGAGAAGGAGCAGGCAGTGGGGAGGCCAGCTGTAACTGTGACTCGGACTTGACAGGCGGTGGACACTCTAAGGAAGGAGCAGGACCAGTAGAAGGTGGGAGACCAAGAACCTGCTCAAGGAGCGGAACGAAG